ATTTGCATTTTTGTAAAACAAGCATTTGGATATCAATAAACAGACTGATGAATATTTTTATCAAAAAATTTTTTTTTTGTTCAAGCCATTTTTGCACTATTTCAATCTTGATTGGGGATTATGGGTATAAAACCAACTTTTTTACGCATAATAAAATGACTTAAAACTAAAAATTATGTTTATTGGTTTGTATGTTTATAACATAATGTCCAATTCTTTCTCAGCTGACTCTTTTTTATGTTCTCTACTAAAATGCATTATCCAATTTTCTATAGTTTTTATTTTTGGTAACTCATTCGGATCCAACATGCCTGCTTCTACTCTTTGTTTTAGATCTGCAAGCATCATTTCAGCAGTGAATCTATTCTTCTTGTCTATATTTCCTGACAAAAAATAGGCTCTTAGAAGTTGTTTTACCTGTTCAGACATGCATTTACTTCCACCATGCTTTCCAAAATTTTGGTTTTCACGAAGAGCCCAACCCAGTTCAAAGTAATTCCCTCTAGAAAATTTTAAAATTTGTTAATTTATTATTTATTATTTTATTAATTTTTTTTCCTATTTATAGTTCACTTAGGAAAAAATGTCTGTTATAAACAAGACTTAAATTCTCAGTCTGTTATAGAGCAAGACCCATTATAGAAAGGTCCATTATTATTATTATAAGTGCCTGTATTCATTCTTTTTTACTGCTTCATCTTCATTCCCAGGTATCATTATACTGCATTTTTTTGTTTTGGATATTTCAATTGATATGGATGGTACATTGTTCAACACTGCACCTTGTGAATGAATTTCTACACAAATTTTCATAGGGGAAATAAGCTCAGATAAGGAAATGTTTATTTAGATTTATATAATATACCTTTGATTTGTTTAGAGTTTCTTCTCCAATTTGCTTTCGTAGTTTTTCTACTAATTCATTTTTACTTTCCTTCTCTTCATACTCAATTTTTCTTTTTTTCAATTCAGCTTTTACAACATCCTTGGACAATCTATTTGGATCTTTCTCTGAAAAAAATTAATTGTGGAAAAGAAAAAATTATAAAGATAATAAGATAATAATAAACAATAAATTTGAACAAAAAAAATTTATTAATAGAATTGGTATGAGTAGCAATAATAAAATAAATATATAATATAATAATAGTGGTGGTGATTATAAATAAAATAATTTAATTCATTTCATTAATAATTTGTCTCTTAAATTAAAATTAAACTTTATCCTACCTTTACTAGACAATGGAATAGTCCATTCTGAGCTTGGTGTTGTTTGATGGATTTGGTTTTATTAATTCTTGGTCTTTTAGAGATTTCTTAATATCAAATGGTGAAAAGGTATTCCATGTACCAAAATTGGGTAAAGAATGTGCACAAATATAGCCAGATGAGTCACCATCTGTAGGCCAAGTGAAATATGACCAATTTGTAATACCCTCTAGAATGGATAATGTTTTGTTTGCTTTTTTTGGTCTTTCGCTAGGGTTAAGATGTTCCTTGAAGTCCTTTGCTGCATTTACCATATCTTCCCCACTCCAGATATCATATCCAATACATACATATTGTTTTATTGCATGCTTTAACTAAAATTATCAAATTTATTTATTACTCTATATATAGGTAAAAATTTTTTTAATAAAATAAACATACTTGTGCATGGTGGGAATCAACAGTAGTCTTTGCTTCATCAGGTTTCAAAAAAATCCATGATCTTATTTTTATATTATACCATTTACTCCATTGACTAATTATCATCATCAACTCTTTATTATGATAATGTGCACCATTATCAGACAATACTTCAATCCATAAAGGTTTTTTTTCCATCGTAGAAAATAAACCATCAAAGGATGATGCTGTGAACCAAGCATCTTGTGTTGGGTCAGATGACCAATGATCTAAAACCTCAAGATTCAATGAAGTAGAATCATCAGATTTTCTTGTATATACTAGTAAGGTATGCAAAGTATATCCTTTTTTTCCAAAAAAATCAGATTTCACCTCTCGTGCTGATTGAGGCAAAATCTTCATTTTGTAGTCAACTATGATCACAGCACCATCCTTATCTAGTCAAAGTAATGCAACTTTAGATTGTGCATTGAGATATGTTTTCCTGGCTTGGTGAGCCCAGAAATATTGTAATTTTTCCCAGAGTTCAATTATTTGGCTTTTTTCATTTGGAGTAAATTGTAGAATCTTTTGGAAAATAAGATCTATTTGACTACAATTTTCACAACTAATAGGATGATGTTCATTGCAATCACCAATGCAAAGTTTAAACAATGTTCAATACAATTATCATGCTGCACATTACCAAGGTCATCTATAATCAATTCATTTCCATATTCTCGATTCAAATGACATAGTGTTTTTTCAAGTTGAGTTATTAATTCATTCTAATAATGAATAATCAAAATTTAAAAATATTTCTTTAAAATCATTTGAGCATCAATTCACTAACCTGGATATCTTTTCTATTAATTTTTTCTTGAACAAGTGATTTCATCTCTTCAAAAACACCAAATCCATATTCATTACATGTCAAACACAAGCCACCAAGATCTTCACAATATACAAATCAGCTATCTTCTAATCTTGTCATAAAAGCTGTCCTTTTCATACCATCTGGGTATAATTCAAAAAAACACTGCCACAATGATTCTTTATTGTTTTTTAAATACATTACAGGTAGGCCACTTGCTTCATTTACCTTATATGAACTTGGTGTTGTATTATTTTTATCAAGTAAAAATGTCATAAATTGATCCAGTGATTCTTTTGACAGTTTTACTTTAGTGATTGCAGGTTTGCTTAATGCAAGGCAACCAGGACCATTGGTTTTAGCATACAATCTGGCACTGGTCACACTGTTTGCTGAAAGCTTCATAAAACATAAGTATTTTTTTTAATTATTATTAGAAGTAAATAATATAAATACAATTTCAAAAATTTTAATGATGTGACAATTTACTTACACAAAGCTTTTCTTGCAATTCAGCATAGGTAAATTTGTTTGCAATTATTGACAGCACACAAATACAACCATGCTGCACATTACCAAGGTCATCTATAATCAATTCATTTCCATATTCTTGATTCAAATGATGTTGTGTTTTTTCAAGTTGAGTTATCAATTCATTCTAGTAATGAATAATCAAATTAAAAAATATTTCTTTAAAATTATTTGAGCATCAATTCACTAACCTGGATATCTTTTCTATTAATTTTTTCTTGAACAATTGATTTCATCTCTTCAAAAACACCAAATCCATATTCATTACATGTCAAACACAAGCCACCAAGATCTTCACAATATACAAATCAGCTATCTTCTAATCTTGTCATAAAAGCTGTCCTTTTCATACCATCTGGGTATAATTCAAAAAAACGCTGCCATAATGATTCTTTATTGTTTTTTTAAATACATTACAGGTAGGCCACTTGCTTCATTTACCTTATATGAACTTGGTGTTGTATTATTTTATCAAGTAAAAATGTCATAAATTGATCCAGTGATTCTTTTGACAGTTTTACTTTAGTGATTGCAGGTTTGCTTAATGCAAGGCAACCAGGACCATTGGTTTTAGCATACAATCTGGCACTGGTCACACTGTTTGCCGAAAACTTCATAAAACATAAGTATTTTTTTTAATTATTATTAAAAGTAAATAATATAAATACAATTTCAAAAATTTTAATGATGTGACAATTTACTTACACAAAGCTTTTCTTGCAATTCAGCATAGGTAAATTTGTTTGCAATTATTGACAGCACATGAATACAACCATCTTGCCCCTTTTTATTTTCATTTAGTGCTTCTCCAAAACATTACCAAAAACTTTTGCTTATATGCTCTTCATCTATTGGAGTTTTTTTATGTATTGGTGTTGGTGACAGAAACCCCAGAGAATACAACTGAGAAAGTATTTGTTGATCTTGTAATGTATTTAG